TTGGTAGTACGGGTGCTGTTCTTCCTGCTGCTGCTGCTGCTACTGCTGCTGCTGCTACTGCTGCTGCTGCTGTCTCAGAGTAACTAAGGAGACACCAGCAGAAGGGAGAAGCAGATAAAGACAAAAAAAGAAACAACAAAAAGGATAAAACAAAAAGGAGACAACAAGAAGGAGACAAAAGAGACAAAGACAAAAGGAGAAAACAAAAGGGAGACAAAGGAGACAAAAGAGACAAAGAAAAAAGGAGACAGAAGAAGAGCTGTCTCTTACCTCCTTTGCTATGGCTTCAAGTTTGGCGTTATCGATCCTTCTCCGCAGCACCTGCTGCTGCTGCTGCTGCTGCTGCTGCTGCTTCTGCTTCTGCTGCTGCTGCTGCTGCTGCTTCTGGTGTTTGTCTCTTGCTCCTAGTGCAGCAAGAAGTCTCTTTACTGCTAGTCTCTCTGAACTGTCTCCGTCGTATAAAGTTGCTGCTGTGCCGCTGCGGCCCATGCGGGCTGTACGCCCCACAGAGTGTACGTAGCTGCGGAGACACCCCAAAGGAGACAGCAAAAAGGAGACAGTTAAGAGAAATAAAAAAGAGACAGAAAAAAGGAGACAGTAAACAGAAATAAAAAGGAGACAACAGAGATGATATAAACAGAAAGAGATAGATTAAAGGAGACAGCAGAAAGGAGACAGAGAAAAGGATATATAAAAGAAAAGAGACAAATGAAAAGAGACACAAAAAGGAAATAAAAACAAAAAGAATATAAAAAGGAGACACCACAAAGGAGACAGCAGAAAGGAGACAGAAGAAAGGATATAAACAGAAGGAGACAAAAAAAAGGAGACGGAAAAAAGGAGACAGAAAAAAGGAGACAGAAAAAAGGATATAAAAAAAAGGAGATAGCAGAAAGGAGACAGAAAAAGGGATATAAACAAAAGGAGACAGAAAAAAGGAGACAGCAAAAATGATAAAGTGAAAAGGAGACAGCAGAAAGGAGACACCAGAAAGGAGACAGCAGAAAGGATACAGAAGGAAGGAGACAAGAAAAAGGAGACAGGAGGAGACAGGAGGAGAAAGGAGGAGAAAGGAGACAGAAGAAGGAGATAAAAGAAAGGAGATAGATATAAACAAATATTAGAGGAAACAAAAAAAGGAAAAGACAGAAGGAGACAGAAGGAGACAGAAGGAGACAGGAGGAGACAGAAGGATAGTAAAAGAGACACGGGAACACAGACACAAACATATACAAAGATAGAGACAGAGACAGAGAAAGAAAGAGGA